TTTAAGCAAATTACTGAAACTCTTAGTCAGTTTCTTTTTCTTTTTTTTTTTTTTTTTAAAGATTTCATTTATTTATTTGACACACAGAGAGAGACAGCTAGAGAGGGAACACAAGCAGTGGGAGTGGGAGAGGGAGAAGCAGGCTCCTGGCTGAGCAGGGAGCTCGTGCAGGGCGCAATCCCAGGACCCCAGGATCATGACCTGAGCCGGAGGCAGAAGTTTAATGGCTGAGCCACCCAGGCACCCCTCTTTGTCAGTTTCCAAAGATTACTGGCCATTTATATATTTCTTTTTGAATTGTCAGTTCATATTCTTTCCCATTTTGCAATTGGGGTATTCCTTTTTTTCCCAGTAATTTTATTAATTATATCTATATAATTAAGGATATTAACCATTTGTTACATATTTTTGCAAATAGTTTTCCTTGTTTGATGTTTTTGTTTTACATTATTCACAGTATTTTGTTGTATAAAGGTTTTATTTTATTATATTTTATTTTTTACTTTTATGTAGTCAAAGCTACCAGTGATTTCTGCCTTTGGTGTCATGCTTATTAGTTCTTTTCCAGCCAAAATTATATAAATACTAACCTCTATTTTTTCCATCATTTTTAGGACTTGCATTTAAAGTTATAGCTTTATAATCTATCAAAATTTTATTTTGTTAACTGTGCCATAGTTTCCTTTTATAATTTATAGAAATATTACATATACTTACATACTTCATTACATACAGAGAAGCATACAAATGGTAAGCAGACCACTCAATGAAATATGACAAAGTGAATATAACTATGTAACCACCACCCAAACCAAGTAGTAGAATGTTACCAGCACCTCTGGAAGTCTCCCTTATGCCTCATATCCCCTCCTTGTCACAACTCCCGCAAAGTAATCACCATTATGACTTCTATCACTGTAGATTAGTTTTACTTGCCTTTAAAGGATGCTTGTTGGATGAATAAGAAACAGGTTAAAAGTAATCTATTTCTGCCTTTCTCAAATAATACAAGGATCTTGGAAGGATCCTGTGAAGGATCTCTAATCAGCTTCCTCCCAACTGACTATCCCAAGCTATCATTGTCCAGCATATTGGTTCCATCTTGTTTTTATAATCCCCAAATTAATCATCATCATTATTTTCAGTTATTATTTATTTAGATTTACCCATGTATTTGCCCTTTTCCCTTCCTCCCACTTTTTCACCCTGGTCCTTCTTTCTGATCCAATCTTCTTCTTACTAAAAATATCCTTTAGTAGTTCTTTCAGCTCCTGGTCAACTTGATTTTTTTTTCTAAAAACATCTTAGTTTAAGTTTAGAAATCCAGGTTGATAATTTATTCTCAGCACTTAAAAGTTAGAAGGCAATAGAATATTATTTTTAATTGTTGCTGTTAAGAAGTCAAATAAATAAATAAAATCTTAAAAAAAAAGAAGTCTCCTCTCACTATAATTGTTTTTGGGGTTATAGGCAATATATTCTTCTCTGATTCTTTTTAAGATTATCTTTTTGTCTTTGGTGTTCTTGTTTCAGTATTATGTATCTAAATGTGGATTTATTTTTATTTATGCTACTTGGTATGAAAATTCATGTTTGGCATAATTACTGGAAATTTTCCAGTCATTATTTCTTTGAACATTGCTGCTTTTCTGTTTCCTCTGTTCTCCCTTTTTGGAACTCCTGTGAGATATGTGTTAGGCCTTCATCTGTCTCTTAACCTCTCATTTATACATCCGTATCTTTCTGTGCTGCCTTCTGTGTAATTTTTTAGATCAGTATTCCAGTTCAATAATTCTGTCTTCATCTGTGTTTAATTTGTCCATTCAGTTTTTAACTTCAAAGGTTATATTTCTATGCCTATAAGTTCATTTTGCCTCTTTTTCAAATTTGCCTGATGTTTTTGTTAATTTCTTCTTTCCTCGTGTTTTCAAATCCTTCATTTTTCTTTAATCACATTAGTTCTATAACCCCAAATACTTTCCGGTTCTTGAGCAATTAAATAATCTTTTATGTAAAAGTAAGAAAGTGAGGCTGCTTTGCAAAAGGTCTAGACTAGATTCTTCCAACTAGCCAGCTTTGGTATTTCTTTGTCTGACCTGACAGTATGCTAAGCAGTACCCTGAATTATGTTTGAGCCAATAGCATTAGCAATAGAAGGTTTGATAAAATCTTGAGCAGGGGGGCACCTGGGTGGCTCAGTCATTAAGTGTCTGCCTTCGGCTCAGGTCATGATCCCAGGGTCCTGGGATGGAGCC